CAAATACAGGTAATTTTGGAAAGTGCATTGAATCTCCAAAAGGGGACAGAAAAATGCTGCCTTCATGGTGGACTTGGTGGACGGGAATCCTGTGTTTGTAAGCGTCCGAACACAAGTGCCGGGACACAGACATTTACGGATGAGCTTGGTAGAGGCAAAGCTCACGAATGTCAGGGAATTCATAATGCCAAAGACTGAGCACCCATGGCCCCTAACCGCAAACAAGGTTGTGTAGCCGAAGGAATGAGTATGCAAACTACTTGGGAGTCCCCACCAACAAAGCCAAGCTGTGAGCAATCGCCACGTGTGTTGTGTAATTCTGATACAATTTTAAACTTGAACACGGAAAATGTTAACAGTTGACAGATAATTCCCACAACTAATTTATAGTCCTGTTCTTATTTTTCGTCTGTCCCAAATTGTTCTTCACCTGCAGCTGAAGTTTGCAGTGAAATTAAATATTTACAACAAAACAATTTAAATGCAAGTTGTTGTTACTATCACATTTAATGCATTACATTTTTTCAACTTATTTATATCATGACAAAAAAGCCTTTTGTATGAATGCAACTCCAACACAAAAATATGAGTTCAAGTTTGTGCAAACAAGTTACGTGAAATATTGTACTCCATTGGAAATGTACAAATGCTGTAAAAAAAATTAATCGTGTTCAGCTCTGTTTCGTTACTTTGTGCACAAGACCTTTCCCTTTTTCTTTCACTTCAACAACTTCCTCTGCAAATTTTCGAGACTAAGCTCCTACTGCACATTTTTCCGAGAGTAAACCCCCTTAAAGAAATTATAAATATCTATCTATAATTACATAATATATATATAAATACTAATTAACTAATATTTTACACAGTTATAACGTATATAAGATATTAAATTTAATCATTTTGCAACCTTATATGCATAATAATAAACATATTTATTATTATATAAATTATTAATCTTACATACACATATATATTGTAAGGGCTAATTTCAGAAACATCCCCTGAATTAGCTTATGGAAAAATGGGAAAACGGATAATTTATGGAGAAAAGGCATAAAGAGCTGGTGTTTTAGTGCAGAACAACACGAACCTTTTTTTATCCGATATATAAGCAGGGTTTGAATTCACTGCGCTAGTTAACCAATTTTTCATATATAAACAAATTTACTAAAATTAAAATAGCGTATTTCAAAGTTGCGCTTCTATTTCGAAGTCAATTACTCTTAAACAGCTAGTACTTAATTCATATAAGAGAACAAACCCGTAAAGAACTGGTATATTATAGCAAACAATTTTTTTTGTTTACTTTAAAATGTTTCATTTATATTAAATAATTCAAAAAATGCTAGTTTTCCTTTCGTAAACATGTTTCTGTAACGGCTTTTGAATTTTATTTGTAAATTTTTATGTATTTAACAAAATTAAATGATTTATAATAAAATGTTCATACAAAACATGGTACTTCATTCATGTAAAACAGAAAAGTCATAAAGAGTTGGTACTTTATGGGATATTTCCTTTTTAAACTATTTTTGACTTATATTACGTAGATAACCTACCATTTTTTTGTTTCATAAGAAATTACTGTACCATTTTTTTAATTTAATTTAAAAACATTTCTAACTGAAATAGCAGCCACAATAATGGCACAAAAATGGTGCCTTACTCCCTAATCCAGCTTTACTTCATGTATTACTCTCTAAGTTTGTGACATTGTTGTTAGGCTTCATTAATCACTGTAGATGCCTTTTTCTCCAACTAAACGATAATAATAAACCCCAACATCAGTAATAAATCCCAACTTCATACCATATATTTGTAATTTTGGCCTTCATGATGTCAGCTAAGGGACCCAATAACTCAAAGGCAAGGGAGGTCGGTCAAATTTTGACAACCTCATGGGGTGCCAGTGAAAGTGTCAGAAATCTCAGGGGAGGTTTCTTAAATTATCCCTAATAAATATATTACAAACCACATCGTAATTGATAGTTATTGGCTAATTAAATATATTAGTACAAATGTATTAGTAAAGTTACTCGAACTAATTAATAATTTCTATTAGTAAATATGTATAATTAGTAGTATAATTCATAATATTAATTATATTACATAAATTAATATACATATATAATACATATAACTAATAATACCATTGTTATTGGTGCACTGAAGAGACGCATAAGCATTGTGAGCAATGAAAATAGATGGGGAGAAACAGAAGTTACTGTTCCTACACCTGAATGGAACGATGGGCAAAAGAAAAAGCATTGGGCCTTATGGTCATTGGTTAGGATAGCAAGGAGAGGAACAAACAGACCATATCGTAAAAGCAGTTTATAGCAGCAGCGTAAGGCACCAATTTACAAAAGCTGGGCAACTGAAGCTGATTCCCAAGTAGCCGCTTCGGAAAACGTCTATCCCACGAAGAGATTTTGCGCAACATACGCTTCCACTTAATTTCCTATTTACAAAAAAGGAACAAGTTTGGTTCGTCTAATAAACAATTTGTCAACTACTTACTCTCCTATTAACCTATAAACAAGAGTTGCCGGCTTTTGAGGGTTAGCTCGGGGTTAAGGTTAGTATAAACTGTCAAAAAGTCTTACTGGCTTGACAAAAAAAATATTAACCAAGTGCAGTAGCACTATTTGCTATAGCAGTGCTTACGACGCAACCTTGACAGTCATGCATCTGGTGATCCTTCTGTGCATGACCCCTTCGGTGGAACTACAATGACTTACCCATCTAGACCTAGCAACCTTGAATACTCTTCATCCCACCGATACATAACAAAAGACAATCCCTCAAGCCGGTGTTGCTCTGTAACCTGTCTGTCGTCACGGTTGCTACTTCCATGCACAACCATACCATCTCTTTCAACCTCTGCATTTCACACCTAAAAGAATATATAATAGGATTTACACACGCAACAACAGTGAAATAAGAACAACAAAACCATTTACCAACAGGTACTGCATCAGTACAATGACTATTTACTACCTTTCAGTGGCTGTAGTCATAACAGCTTACAATGGCCCATGACACATTCAAACTTACATTATTTACACTTCAATGGTAACGGAATCAAATTTTTTTAAACACCACCACAACCTGTATCCAGCATTCCCCGCATTCACGAATACCTTGTAGCCTTCTCGTTCTCAAAACAAATTAATGCGAAGGAAAGATACAAACCGTTCCCCTTCTACAATTTCGTACTTGTTTCATGGAAAGACTACTCTTGCACCTCTACTCACCAAAACCTGCCTTATTTATTACGTAACTGCAAACCGAAGCATCACAACAGTAGTGCCTCATCTTTCTCATGGACTTCTTTGTTGGCCACCTGTGTCCCTCCACCGCTACCGAATGGTTGTGGTACAAATGCTTGTCCTCTCCATTCACTTGAGTCGCTCCAGCCCGTACCAATTTCAAATGATTTTTCCAGTGAGTCATCCAAACAATTTTTCATATAATCATCATGAACTGCTGTGTTGTGCGAATTCTTTTTGTATGGGCATGTTTGTTGGTTGTGCCCTGCCTGCAATCTTCAACCCATATATCACATGTCAAATCATTTGTGACTACAAGTAATCACGTCAACTAAGCACAATGATAACATTACACCACTTCAACTTTCTTGCATTGCCAATAACTTTGGATGCACTTTTAATTATGTGTTTATTTGCTACTGTTGATAATAAGAACGAAAAATACCCACTTCTTCATTATTACCTTCACTGTCTACTTCATGTATTTTATCAATTAACTACTGTATAACTACGTATGCAATTCCGATAGTACCTGCAATGACCACACTTTCTTTTCTTCTTTGCTTCTGCATGCTTGTGATCACCTTTAGACCGGGACACCCTGGGATCTAACAGCCCGAATGTTCTTCTACTTCTATCGTTCCTCACTCTTGAATCCATTGCAAATCCGTCTCCCCCATATCCCCTGTCAATCCTCTTCTCTTTTAGGTCCACAGAATGCTTGTCAAACATCTGCTGCAGGTCATTAAACGCATCATCCATGTAGGAGGCATAGTAACACATAGTATTACAGCTGGACTTTAAAGTGCCATATCTGGCCATTTGTGTCAGCTGTTCGTCTACAACAAATGCTTTCATTCCATTATTAGTACAGTAAACTCCCTTTGTCCACCGCTTCGAAATGCATGCTTCTGGGATCCTGTTCATTCCTTCTACCACCATCACGCGAAACATGTGAGCACAAGGAATCCCCTTTGACTTGAATTTCATGCAAGAGCAGATTAGCTTCTCCATTGACCTATCATAATCCACCCTCCAACTTATTCCGTGTCCACCATATTTCGAGTAATAATATGTACGACTCCCTCCATCCTCGCTCCAGCCCTCAGAAATTAGAAGTCATTGCCTGTTCAAATGCTTCCTCACCATGAAGAACACATTCCTTGTAAACACCTCCGCTGCGCTCCTCTCTAATTCGGGTAGGATTGTGGTTAACACTGGTTTTGTGTTTTCGCTTGTGTGAACTGCTTTGCTCTCAGTATGTCGAAGCCATGCTATTACCAAATCAAAACTTCTAACGAATTTATATAGTCGCATTTTTTCATTCAAATACTCATTCAAAAAAATATTCATTTTCTCACACCTTTGAGTACTTCTCATACCTGTAAAAAAATGACCGCGTAAATAGGCCTCTGCCCATAACCTTCTCCTACGGTACAACTTCTTCACCCACTCATTCTGTATCACCCCACATTCATTAACCAACCTAGCCCACCGATCCTCAAACTCAAGAGTGCTATACTTTCTCTCCATCATGTTATACAACCTGTTATTAAACTCCTCGCAGCGAATATTACTCCGTACATTTCTATGCAAGTGCCACGAACATAGCCTGTGACAAGCATCTGGGAGAAGATTCTTTATAACTCTTCGCATTGCACTGTCCCCATCTGTCATCACTGCTACTGGCTTTCTACCTTTCATAGCCTCTACAAATGTACTTAGCACCTATTCATATGTTTCAATCCTCTCATCTGATAGCAGTGCACAGCCAAAAATAGTACTGTTCAAATGGTTGTTTACCCTTGCAAGTACAACTAGTGGCTTGCGGTATTTATTTATTTTGTATGTTGTATCAAACACCAATACATCTCCAAATACACTGAAGTCCGCACGAGATTTAGAATCTGCCCAAAACAACCTTGCCAATCTTCCTTCGTTATGTACATGATATTTATAAAAGAACATGTCATCGGCATCCTTCTTCGCTGCCAAGAACCCAAGTGCCCCTTCTGCATCGCCATTAAAAATATCTTTTCTACGTTCCTCGTCCATTCGGTTATACAGATCCTTAATGCAAAATCCCACGTTACTATACCCTCCGGCTTTGATTACAAAATGTTTCATTATCTGGCATATTCTGGCCCCAACCAACTTTAGACTTTTTGCCTGCGCATATTCTGCATCGCTCACTTTTCTATACGACCTAATGTGTTGCACACTTGCCTCTGATGCCAGCGGGTGATTGTGCTCCATAATGAAACGTGTCACCACATACTTTACCGATTTTATGTCATATTTCACGCGAAAGCAAGCCCCACACTCGGTTCTTGTGATTGGTTTTGCTTCTCTTTTCCGGTCTTCATAGTTAAACCACTTTTCATTCCTATAACCTTCACAGCAACATACCCATTTTCTAAATCTTGAAATGCCATCTGCATCTCGTTTGGCATTACTTTTACGAATCCCAAATCCGCTTAGTTTCGCATACAAATTATAGAATTCCCCAGCTTCTTCTTCCGTGTCAAATGTTAATTTCATTACGTCATCCACGCCTATTGCGCCCACCAATTCATCTGTCTCCTCATCTTCGTGTCCTCCTATTGAACCATCGCTTTCTTCAATGAATGTGTCTCGGTCACACTCAGGTTCTTGGTTAAGGTCAAATGACCTTAACCTGCAGCAACCATCCATCCCCATTCTTCCGTTCTCTGTTTCCTGCACCATGTCATGAGTTTTAAGCGCCTCATCCTGCCCCATAGTTACAACCCCTGTGTGGTTGTTCAATTTTTTTTCTAACCATGGTCGCTTAACATTTTTTTTTAGCTTCCCCATATGCTTTCGTTTGTAACATAAGTACTAATCGTCTACTAATGGAACAAAACATATATACACGATCATTTTAGTTAACAAACCATACTGAAATGACACAACTTTCACAAAATGCAGACGATAAACATTACTCTAACATTCATATACACAGTTTTTATAAGTGTGGCTGATGCAATTATATCAACCTTTAGCACAAAATACCACTATCGACGTGCATTTTCATTAACACCCACAAACTCAACCTCTACTGTGTGTTTCTTTAATTCTTTTCACATAAGCATTCGCAATGCAGTATGGGGGCCATTATCGATGTCCACACGGCCATCCAAATCACTCTGTTTTAAGACTTTAGTTCTCTTACAACGTCTTCTTCACGTCTTCACTCATTTCTGCTTAATTTCCTTTACACAATTTAATACAAATTAGAGGACCAACATTTCCTACGTACGTACACAAAGCTCGGTGCACAAATAAACTGCGATAATTTCCCGATTTCGTTTCATCTTTGTTCGAAGACGCTGGGTCTTACACCCCGTATTTCGTATTCCTTATTCCTCTATCATTGCCTCTTACAAGAACTGTAGAAATCACTCTACTAGACGTACAGGTGTTTTACTCGTTATTTTACTCCATTTTTCTAAGTTATGGACAAAAGTACTCACCTTTGATTTCTCTACTTCTGTTCCACGCCGCTGCATTCTTTCACCACAGCTTCGGAAGGGCCTTCCTCAGATATATCTACCGTCACCGCCTGCGCCTGAATTTACGCCGGTAGACACCACCTCTGTCTATTCCGCCTTCACTTCTTCTTTACCAAATTTTTGCCTTCGATTCCGACCTCACCACCTGTCTGCAAACACACGCATCACTGCGAGCCCCAACATGGCTGTGTGTTTAGTACCTAATACGCTTCCTCTTCGGTGGCCCCAGCATGGCTTTGTTTAGTACACAAAGCTTCGTCTTCGATGTTTTATACAACAGAACCGGCACCGGCGTGTTAATTTTTATGCTTTTCGATAAATAATTTTATATTCAACGAAATTGGGGTCTCCTGACTGTTTGATGGACGAAAGCCGTAAAGAGTTGGTCGTTTATAAGACAACCGTTTTAACTAAATTTTATCCCATAACCCAACATTTGTATTTAAGGGACGTTGGCTACTCTGTCACTGTAATGGTTGAAAGGCACAAAGAGCTGGTCTTTTACTCACCAACGGGTTTAATTTCATTTTATCCGATAAATCAGTCTGTCTTTATGGTACCTTGGGTATTATGTTGTTGTAATGGAAGAAAGCCAAGGGGAGCTGAAACTTTTAAACTGACACACCCGTTTGAATATAATAATGGTCCTCAAAATGGATTTAATCTTTAGTTGTAGTGCAGGAAAGCCATAAAGAGTTGGCTCTTTATTCAAAAATGCATTTGAATATGATATTGTGCGATCGCTAACATTTGTATTCAACGCAAATGGGTACTCCGTTGTTATTATGGACGAAAGAGTTGAAAATTGGGGTTGTTTTAATAAAGTTAACAGGTTTATTTTTACTCCTTAGCCCATTATATTTATGTTAATTCCGTTTCACCCCAATGTATTTTCAGCTTGTGCAGTACGCTACATTTCCAATGTCCAAACCGCGGTTATAGGTCATCACTTCCTTTTCTAGAATTATTCCCTTTCGCGTCCGTACTTGTCAGGTTGCAACATGGAGGCTTCTTTGCCATATTATTTGCTTTCCACGCCCGCCTTTGAACTTTGCAAATACACTACAGAAATTACCCTAAATTGGCTCATAATAAAGTTCAAGAACTATTTCAACTTTGTAAAAATAGGGGAGGGACTAAATTGACTCATAAAAAAGTCTAGGAACTATTTTGACTTTAATAAAATAATTTAGGGACTAAATTGATAGTTTGTTTTCCAATAAATATCAAGCTATGCACTCAAAAAGTCTAAACGGTCACAATCACAACCCATTTCCATTCATCATCTTCAAAGTTCGAAACCATAAATCTCTTCTTTCCTTTTCTTTTGTTCCCAAAATGCCCCTAAACCCTCCCTCCAATTACAACTCCCTTCCCACCTCCAGCTCCGCCTCCGCCGGAAAATCCTCACTCCCACCACCCCGGCTTCCTCCGGCACCACCGCCACAAACCCTTTTCACCCGTGCCAGAGCCCAGATCGCCACATTTCGCCCATGGAAAGAGCTCCTAGACCTTTCCTCCTTCTCCCTCCCTTACAGCTACGCCGAGATAATGTCGCGGGTCCGGCGAAATCTCAACTATTTTCGGATGAATTACGCCTTGGTAATGCTCTTTATTCTCTTCTGCAGCCTAATTTACCACCCCTTTTCGATGATAATCTTCTTGGCCATTTTCGTTGCTTGGTTATTCTTGTACTTCTTTCGGGACGATCCAGTTATGGTGTTTGGAAGAGTTGTCGATGATCGCATTGTCATGATTATATTGAGCTTGGTTACTGTTTTTGCTCTTGTTTTTACCCATGTTGGATTGAATGTGTTGGTTGCTTTGATTGTTGGAGTTGTGATTGTGGGCTTACATGCCACTTTTAGGGGCGTTGAGGACTTGTTTTTGGATGAAAACGAGGCAGCCGAAGGTGGGTTGCTTTCGGTTGTTGCAGGGGAGCAAAGGCCATTGCGGCAGAATTATTATTAGTTTTGATGGGAGTGGGCAAGTTTTGGATGAGTATTTTGGGAATACAGGCTAAGTTCTTCCCCGAATTTGTACGATTGTAAAGTGGAATCAGCGCGGGAATAGCTTTCCGAGGAATTTCGTTTTTTGCGGTTTGATAGAGCGAAGGAGGCTCTGGTCGAAAGTTATTGAAGATTTGTCATTTGGCTTTTTTATTTGGAAGTTGCAATATGGAGGAGCTAAATTATAGTGGGTGTTCAAACTTCGTATTAACAAGAGAGCAAGGTGAATGTTCATGAGCTTTGTCGGATCTCAGAGAATGCGTTTTTTATTTTATCTTTAGTTCTTGAGTGTGCTTACAGCTTTCTTATTTTGCTGTTGGTTAAGTGGGAGGTAGCCATGTATCTTTTTTGTTACTTGGAGCTTCATGGATTGGAATTTGACATACGGGAGAAATGCTTGTTTTCTTTTGTTCTTTCATGTGTCTGTGGCCCTTTTCTAATGGCACGGTTTCTTATAGTAGAAATTTAGGTTGCTTCACCTCATGTATTGTTCTGAAGTAATGCTCACAAACATGAAGTTTGCTAGTGTGACGTACAAAAGCATATGGGAGTTTGCATCATTTTGTGATTTGATTAATTTGCTCTCTCTCTCTCTCTCTCGAACTTTGCTAATGTGACGTACAAAAGCATATGCCAGTTTGCACCATTTTGTGATTTGATTGATTTGCTCTCTCTCTCTCTCTCTCACTCTCTCTCCCTCTCCCCACTTTTAGCATATTATTCTTGTATGATTTTTTTTTTTTTTTTTTGTGGTGTGGTGTGGTGTTTTTGTGGGGGGGGGGGGGGGGGTTGGTGAGGTTCGGTGGAGAACCAAGATGATGACGGTTTGGAGTTGGAGGTGTAAAGGGAATTAAGTGAAGTGTGAGAATGGCAAGAGGTTGTAGGGAGAATGGATACATTGCTGGTAAAAACTACAAGTATTCAGTGGATGAACTATTTTCAAGCTTCTAACAAATTGTGGCATCTATTTTTGGTCTTCCTGAATGTTGGTTGTCTTCACATGTTTGCTTATGTTTATCTATAAAAGTCTGTCCTTTTGTATGGTTGCAAGTTGCTGTCTGATTATAACTTTTACTGAATGATTTCTGTTATTCCATTAGTGTCTTAATGTTTGATTAGAAACATGTATAAGTTTTTTGTCATGAATGATCTGAGGTCTGTATATGTTACTGATCAGTGTATTCTCCAGCTGATTTTGTGCAAAACATGTAGCTTGCATCCACAGCCAGTGTGTGTATGTATGTGGTAGCATGTTTGTTAGACATATTTTCATAGGTTGTTTTGTGAATTGATGCTATTAACCTGTTATATTTTCCATTCAAGAAAATGAATTCTTGTTTGAGGTGAATTATACCATTCACTCGGTTGATCTGGTATGTTTTCCTCTTTGGACAGAAAACATGTCTTATGCTTCTTATTCCTCTTCACAAGGCTCGCCATATATTTATTTGTGTCTCTCTATTTTTCATGCATTCCTCCTAATTTTTCCTTTCTTTGATACCTATCAAAAATTTCTTTTTCTTTGGGAGTTCCATATGGAGTAAGGGTAGTTTAAGAGATGCCGTTTAGAGAGTGGTGATCTTCCCAGGTCCTGAGAAAGTAAAGGCTACAGTGTAGATCTGATATCTACTGCTCAACGTTTCAAATACTGATCAGATTTCGTGTTTTAACAGTAGTTGTAAGCAATTGCTAATTGAACTTTCTTTCATTGTATTCTTACTCTAATGCTTTCTAGCTTTCTTTACCTTCTTGCAATATCCCGATGCATGTAGCAGGAAGAAGATGGCCATGTCAATTTGAAAATTAAATGTATATTAGAAGGTATACTCTTTTATTTGCTTAACTGAAAGCTCAATACTTAGTGGGAGAAATTGAAGTGGACTATTGCATGGTTTGTTTATACTTGTAATTGTTTCAATTCTTTTGGCTGCAAAATCCTTTTCTGTTTGTTGTTTGTGAAGATTTCTAATGGGATGTCAGAGCTCTGTTAATTCATAAAGAGGCTGGAAGTTTTACTAAATTTGTAAGAATGGCAATTATAAATCGTTGTACGATCACATTCACCACAGAAGTGTGTACAATTGCCCATCTCAGAAACTGTGCTAAAGTTCCATCCTCTCTATGAATTTGAAACCTCAGCCACACCTAACAGGAACTTTCCTTTTTGTTTTAGAATGAGGATGGAAGATTGTAGTTTTCATATCTCAATTTTGTTAGT